GGGGAGAGATGGTGAACACAATAGTGTGAATCAGAAGGTTCATTACGGAATCGGTGAATCAGAAGGTTCATTACACAAGGTCACGGTCATTGCATGCGCGCACACACGCGCGCGCGCGCGAGAGAGAGAGAGAGACGAGGAGATGAAGACTCTGAACCATGACACTTGAACAGTCACTTTACAACATATGGTCTGTTATTTATGATACACAATTGTACAATCCCGTGTAATGCTCATCTTTGTGTGATTGGTCATAGAGCGACTATGTTATGAAAAAAACACCATCCGTGGTTGTCGTCAATGCAAGGTTGGCTAGTGCATGTCACTCTCTCTCTCATGCCACCATGTTGCTAAATTTGTGTCACGCAGTAGTGAACTGTGTTTGTAGCAGGGCAGCTCAACATTTAACTGAGGCTTCCTAAATGACGTTCATCCATAGAATGAAGCACAACAATCCTACGGACTCGAAAAGGAAGGTTGGCTACTGCGTGCCACTCTCTCTCTCGCGGACGGCCATGTTGGTAAATTTGTGGCCCGCAGTAGTGAACCGAGCTTGTAGCAGGGCATCTCAACATTTAATTGACGCTCCCACACGCGTTCGTCTATAGAATGAACTACAGCAATCCTACAGACTCGAAAAGGAAGGTTAGCTGTTGCGTGTCACTCTCTCTCGCGGACTGCCATGTTGGTAAATTTCTGTCACGCAGTAGTGAACCGTGCTTGTAGCAGGGCAGCTCAGCATTTAATCGACGCTCCCTCACGCGTCCATCAACAAAATGAAAATACTGCAATCCAGCACTAATAAAAAACAAAGGTTGGCTACTTTTGTCAATGGATGTGCGATAGTCATGAAGACTATTCTTTTTTTGCGTATATATGTTATCTTATTGATTATGATCTTTGTCATGATAAGTTTTTTTTTTTAGTTTCGCGTGTAACGAAGTATGATGACTTGCGGGTTCATGCTTGGTTGAGACTTTTCTAATCGACTGACGTGTGCTTCATACTTAGGAGCTCAACGCTCTAAGGAGGGAACGACATTTCAACCAAACGTATTTATAATACAACGAAACGAGCAAACGCCCCCGACGGACCTACCTCTACGATTGCATATAAAAACTTTTGCATCCGGTTCAGTAACTCGATAGAGATACACCCCTAAGGACGCTTACAACCCCTTATGGAAGATAAGTTGTGCCTCGCAGGAACTTATCCTGTCATAGGGAACCGCGAGAAGTACGGGTGGCGCACCCGACTTGAGCGGTAAGGTGACAATGCAACCTCAACCCTCCCTGTCTGATTAGGAAGATGACCACAGTTTTCAGGAGAATGACGACCCCATCCATGAAGAAAAAGAACAATCGTGAGAACAACTGCAATCATACACCTCACATCATAGCCCGCCGAATATGCAATATAAGAATGAATCTCTCACTAGAACATTGAAAGATATACGGATTATTATCTCACTGGTCTTACCAACTCCTTCTATCAGATGTGTAATTGGACGCCCCCCAACCTGATGCAACTCTCTCCCTACCTCTCTTTTGCAAATCTTTTTTTTTATCCTTCTTAATGCATCCAGTTCTGAGACTCCACCGGGTTTCCTTAGCTCTAGCCTTCCGCAGCTTAGTCAGCAACCGAATGTTGCCCGTTATGTGTAGGTCCAACCATGAATGGTCACTTTTGGGTTCGAACTCATATCTGCATTTTAACAGTCCCATACATGCGTCAACTAAGCAGTCTTCCAATGTGCAAAATGAGAAGGAATTTTTCGCAAAGACTTAGGACGATACATCGTTACAGACAAATATTGTGCAAAGAATACGTGGTGTTAGTATAGGCTAAGAAGCTAGTATCCGGCGCCAATGTCGCCTCGCACGCGAGTAGGATTGGGGGGGGGGTTACTTTTATCGATAGGATAAACAAAATCGGAATGAATCAGCAGTTAGAACATGGGTCGATTTATGGTTAAACTTTCTCAGTTCGGCCCGTAGCTCTCACCCCACATCGCTAGTCTCAGAGGTCAGCTCTCTTTCTCTCACACACACTTTGTGCACCTTGTCGTTCATACGACCGAGTTCAGAGTGAACGTCCCGCTAAAACACAACTAGATACACGCGTTCTCTCTCCCGATCTCGTTCATCTTCTTCGTTTTTTTTTCGAT